TAAACGTTTAAATGCAGGATGTTTGCTGTTGCGATATTGATTGGACCAGATGTTACAATACTCGTGGAAAATTACAAATAACAAAATAGGTCATCTGGAAATATTGGCTGTATATGTGTTACTAGGTTTATTGTTATGTTAATACTTGTTGGATCGAGCTCTTTTGCCTATGCCAAAACATTGTATGCACAAACAAAAGAAAACTTGCGCCAGATGAGCTATTTATAATGCCATTTGGGTTTGTTTAATAACAAGGTAATGATGCTTTTAGTGAGGGCCTCTGTGAGAAGGTGACAAGGACATTTTATCATGGAAAAATGGCTCCCACAGGAGATACCGCTTCGGTGAGATCAAGCGATATCTACACTGTAGATATCGCTGCAATGAAATTGCATCACAATACTTTGCAGACCATTGTGACGTCATTGGTAACCATGATGTTACAATCAAATGACATCACTAATGGCTCTGCTCAGAAGCTGTTAGCAGTACATTTTTACACTTAAGACACTGCTTATTACTGTCTACAAACTGAAAAAGTTTGAAGAATGATGTTGATAAATATCTCACCCTCGTGTCTTTTGATATCAAATATATCAACGTCTTTTGATATCAAATATATCAACACTCGTTGATAAAAGTGGAAAAAATCCTAGGCAAGCCTCGGAGTTTTCCCACTTTTATCAACTCGTGTTGATATATTTGATATCAAAAGACACGAGGGTGAGATTCTCTATTTACACCCTCTTCTGTCCGTCGTCCGAATGCTAAATGGATTTAATTACCACATAGCTGAATGTTTCCATACAAATGCAGATTGTTTACCACAAAATGACTGATGCGTGATATTTACTTCAAATGAATTGGGATTTGTGACAAAATAACATTTGTGCCCGATATATAATTCTGACAGGGGTTCTGTAGAAATGCATTTTCTAAGCCCGTTTTTGTGATGGCCACGAATACATATTGTACATAAATTAGATCATAAATTCATCTCATCCAGACCTTTACAATGGAATGAAGTTTGTTCATGTAGCTCAGTTCCTTCTGTGTGGGACCCGTGAAGATCCGGGGTGAGATGTCTTCAGCAACCCATGCTTGTCGTAAAAGGCGATATATGCTTGTCGTAAGATGCGACTTATGGGATCTGGTGGTCAGGCTCGCTGACTTGGTTGATGCATGTCATCGATCCCAAATACGTGGATCGATGCTCATGATATTAATCACAGGATTGTCTGGTCCAGACTCGAATATTTACAGACCGTCATATAGCTTGAATATTGCTGAGTGTGGCGTTAAACAACCAACCAACCAACCAATCAACCTTCTGTGTGGTCAAGTTGAGACTGCCACCCTGCCTTGCACTGCCACTCCGTGTGACAGATGCAGCCAATGACTTTGATACTGCCAACGCTAACTTTACTTCTGAGATAATAGCTATTGCTGAAAAATGCTTAGGTTAAGTCCTAAAAAAAATCCCTTGGTGGAATGCCATCTGTGAAATGCTGATCGTACCTGGAAAACAGCCCTTAACAGAGTTCAATTTACTCAGATTTAGCTGAATTTCGTCAAAAACGTGCCGATCTTCATCGGATAGTCATTCAACAGAAAGAGTTTTTCCGGCGCTGTTATATTTCTAAAATTAACAGGTTGATACCAGTATCCTCAATGTGAAAACAAACGTTAAAGCAATTGGTTGAATACGTATAATCCCTGAAAATGTTAGAGATAATGTATATTCCCTGCGTGAATGAGACTTCCCTGATTCGACGTATTCCCCCTAACAACTCGTCAAAAGTATCGCGCCACCAAGACGTTTTGATAAGAAAAGAGATGGGTAAGGAGAGGCTGGAAAGCGAAAGAAAAGAAATCAAAGTGTTATTAACGTCAAATGAAATGTAAATTTTATTAATAATAGGACAATTATTATTTGCAAAAAAAAGAAAGCAACTTTATTCCCTAGCGACTACAAGAACTCTAATTAGGGATAGATAGAGGCAGTTAGGTACGATAACTGTTAGGAATGAGGTGATCAGATCAACACGTACGTGTCTCAGTAAGTGATCAGTAGTCTAAGTTAGTATCTGATGTGGCCACCCCGTACACAGATCACATCCGCAAGACGTCTCCTCATCCTCAACTGGGGATGTGTTGCCGTTCCTGGTGCGATGCCTGTGTCAATTCTTGGAGATTCTGTACTGGAGTGCCCCTGGCTCTAACCCTGCGTCCCAACTGATCCCACATATGCTCGATTTGATGCACATTTCTCTTCGAGAAGGCAGAGCTCCACTGGCTTAGTTCAGGAGATGGTCAGTCACAGCTCCTGCTCGGTGGGGTCATGCATTGTCGTCCATGAAGACCTGGTAAGTGCATGGTTATGAGGCACAACAAAACCGTCCAATGTGGTATCTTGGTACCTTTGTCCATTTAATGTACCCTGAACTGTGACCAAATAAAGTTTACAATCAAAGAAGCAACATCATCATACTATCCCTGAGCCGCCACCACATGCCACTGGTTCCTGGATGTTGCGCTGATAAAATGTTCCCTTTGCCTCCAGACAGGAGTCCTACCATCAGTGTGGTGCAATAACAACCAATTCTCGTCAGACAATGAAACCTCCTCCATGACCTCAAATTCCAGTCTGACACCAGGCGAAACGATCCCGCATGTGTTGGGTTGAGAGGAGTGGAAGTCTTATTGGACTTCTGGCCATTAATCCCGCTGCGTACAGTCGACTCCTGATGATGCTAAGGGGCACTCTGTTGTGGGTATCCCAGTGATGAGGAAGAACAGTGCAAGTTGAAGTTTACAAGGACCCTGTCTCTTCCGTGGACGTCCTGATCTCGGCAAGTCCCTCACATGTCCAGTCAATTTGTGTTTTCTAATGAGTCGACTGATAACAGTATGATTAATGTTAAACACGGTGGCAATAGCCCGACATGACATGCCAGTTTTGTGCATGCCAACAGAGACCATATAATAGATGGTCTCTGATGCCAATGATTTGCCATCTTGCCATTTTCTGTGATAGTACACTAAGGCATTTCAGTTACAATCGTTCCAAACACAAATCTTTCAAATTGGTAGAACTTTCATTCAAAATTAAAAGATGTAAAGACGCATGAGCTTTCTGTCACCAAACATGAACTTCTCTTAGAGAGGCATACGTCTCGTGGCTACCATCTACATGATGTATCAACACACAGTGTACCTTTTGAAAATCATAATACAGTTGTCTGCACACGTATCCTAATTAGTTTTGCATGTACGATATTATATTTCCTCTTTCCGTATGCGAAGTAAGAAGCTGACGTGGGGTGGTGCTTGTGTCAAGAATTTGTAGAACAAAACATTTCGGTCTCAAAACAGAATAGAGTTCCACAATCGGATAGTCCATAGGTAAAAGGATTCACACGAATGTCTTAGTCTTTTGAGGGGAACACTGATGTTTTCAGTTTAAAAAATATGAAGCTTTTGCAGTCAATATCTTTGGTACATATATGTTAGATAGGACGGAATCATATTATAACTAATTTGAAGAAAAAAAAGTTTAAGTAAAATTTAAGTTTCTCAATCGGTTTCGTAATATAATGAGTGCCTGTTGGTTTATTGAGGCCAGTTACAATGCGTACAGGTTCTAATTGTAATTGATTTAATTTCTCACTTTGTCCTTCGGTGCAACCATCCAATACCTCTAATGGGTATTTAAAATGAACATTTAAAAACAATTGTTAATAGTATTTCTGTTAAGTTGATGTTTGTGTTTTCTCATCAAATAAATCACCTTGGGGGTTGCTTTTATTAAGGTAGATAAATGACAAGATCATTTGCCACTGGCTTCAAGTATAATTCCCAAATGTTTATTTCTACGAGTCTTTACAGAGCTGATAATTTTTCACTTGAAATATATATGTAGACCTCCAATGGTTTCTTTGCGAGAGAATAGAACACATTTAATCTTTTCGGAATTGGACGTTAACAGCCAAAGTCTCTCCAATTCCGCGGAGAATGCTCATGTAGTGGTTAGGGGAATTTCCATTACGCTGTTGTAATTGGATGACATGCCAAAACGTCTTGTCATACAGTCTAATGTATCAGCAATGTCATTTACATAAACAATAAACAGTAATGGACCCAGCACGGATCCCTGCGGTCGTGCGAGATCTTTAGAGAGTTGGTGATTTGAGCTGAACGCTACCAGTGTACCCTTATTGAGGACGACACGCGAGCGCATCTGTTACAGTGGCGTAGCTTCATCAAGAAGTATTAATAACTAGTTTCCATGAATATTTTCTTCTACTTTCATCGTATCAAATTATCCCAACAGCATGACTTCGTACATAGTGGAGCGGTCGTCATTGTCATCCAAGAGAAGAATGTTTTGTCAGCTTAGACCAAAAACATTTTCAGTCAATATAAGGATCGACATGTTTGTTCAGCCTCAAAGACGCATAAGGAATTAACAAATATTTATTGATAACGACTATCCGCAGTAGGTCCAAGTGTATACGATTCCCTTGTTGACAGCAACGTTATAACCGAATTTCGCAATAAAGGTCATTGGATTTTTCCGCTACATGAAGTCTCTCCGATTCACCGCGACACCTTGTGAAGAAAAACAGATCCTGTCACGCCATTACATTCTATGCATGGTATTACTGTAGCCTTTTACTACTCTTTACATACGTCGTGACTCTCTTACAGAAAAAGACGATTCGTTATTCGGTTGGTGAAAACAAATATTTGAACAGCTTCCCAGACTTCTGGTGTCGTTTCTATTTCATAGTGATTCATAAACCCTTGCTCATGATACAGTCATGAATATGAATCGTACAATCGACTCTGCTTCATGCAGAGATTTCTATTGGATATTGAAAAGGTTTTGTCGCTGTATCTATAGCAAGTCAAGCGGGACATATATCCTGAATGCGACTCCGGTTAACCACTGGCTGTGGTAGTTGGGTGGCTGTTAATGGTTATATATGGGTGAGGAGGCGAGGTGTTCTATTTATATCACAGTAAGCAGTGTTCCTGTTGTAGTACACTGATGAGTTCCGACCTGGAGAGCAATGATGACATGTGACATGTTTTAAACAGGAGTACTTGCGTTGTGCTTTTGGGGGTTTTACACAGGTGACGTGAAATGCGCAGTGACCGACTGTAGTCATAGTCATTCTCAAGCTGTGCTCCGGTCTACTCAATTACAGGTTAACACTCCTGTCAACTGTACGTAGTTCTCCCATTGTTCAGAGAGATCCGGGGATGTGAAGAGAGACGCTGTTCTGTTTCAGCGGTGTCGTACCCCGTTATGTTTTTCCTGAGCTGGGGGTGTCCTACATTCAACACTGTCGGTCGCACAATCAATTCATACTACATTCCGTGTGGTTGTGATGAAACGAGTATGTTGGAGCGGCTGTTACGATCTCACCACCTGCCCCACTACTAGTGAGCGGCACATTGATGTTGATATAGTGGTCAATAATTCATCTCAACGGAACACTAATCATCGATCACATAGACAAAGAATTCGACTTCGTACCTGTCAGCTGACGAAGTGACAACACCGTGATGTTTGAGAGGCATTTTTCAGAAGTTGACGGGTGCCAAAGTAGACACTATCTATGAATAACAGTTTCTTTAATGTACCGTATAGATCATCATACCGTTGTCAAACAATTAAGACCGTGTTGTTTCTTTTCTACTCATCATGATTTGTTGAATTCAAAACCTCATCGCTAGAGAATATCCAGTGTCGATTCCTGATTCCTAAGATAGTAAAAGGCAAAACAGTTGCGGAAATTGTATGAATAGATCACACTGGCCATCGGTTACACAGCCAATGATTTCTACTGTCTACCATTGGATAAAGTGGATATACATTGGATATAGTGGATATACATTGGATATAGTGGATATACATTGGATATAGTGGATATACATTGGATATAGTGGATATACATTGGATATAGTGGACATACATTGGATATAGTGGATATACATTGGATATAGTGGATATACATTGGATATAGTGGATATACATTGGATATAGTGGATATACATTGGATATAGTGGACATACATTGGATATAGTGGATATACATTGGATATAGTGGATATACATTGGATATAGTGGCTAAACATTGGATATAGTGGACATACATTGGATATAGTGGCTATACATTGGATATAGTGGATATACATTGGATATAGTGGATATACATTGGATATAGTGGCTAAACATTGGATATAGTGGACATACATTGGATATAGTGACTATACATTGGATATAGTGGATATACATTGGATATAGTGGCTAAACATTGGATATAGTGGACATACATTGGATATAGTGGATATACATTGGATATAGTGGATATACATTGGATATAGTGGCTATACATTGGATATAGTGGATATACATTGGATATAGTGGATATATATTGGATATAGAGGCTATACATTGGATATAGTGGATATACATTGGATATAGTGGATATATATTGGATATAGAGGCTATACATTGGATATAGTGGATATACATTGGATATAGTGGATATACATTGGATATAGTGGATATACATTGGATATAGTGGCTATACATTGGATATAGTGGATATACATTGGATATAGTGGATATATATTGGATATAGAGGCTATACATTTGATATAGTGGATATACATTGGATATAGTGGATAAATATTGGATATAGAGGCTATTCATTGGATATAGTGGCTATACATTGGGTATAGTGGCTATACATTGGATATAGTGGCTATACATTGGATATAGTGGATATACATTGGATAAAGTGACAATACCTGTTGCCTCTGTTACCCAGTGTGTACGCTATGGTGTGTTTATGTACATGCTTTATGGACAGCGGATAATGGACGGCAGCATGGGCATAGATTTCGCTTCTCTGTGACTGTGGAAGGAGTGAGCTTACTGTGTTGTTTCTTTTCAACTGGAGTTATTGGATATTGATTATCATCCACATAACAACAGTCGACTCCCGCTTGATATGGGATATAGCAACAGTGTAACAGTCAATTCAACTCATAACGTTATATTGAAACTGTTGACTAATACATGTTATATCCTCGGTCATACAGCTTGGCATTGGATGTAATGAAGATATCATTTTTCTGGTCATCTGACCAAGCTATTGAATTCTGACCACTGATCCTTGCTTGTTTGCAGACCATTGTGACCATTGTGACATCATCAGAGTTTGTTAACAATTGGAGAACAGGGTCAATGTCTGCATAAATTTGTACTGTGACATGCGACACAACAGACATACTAGTTTGGTTATGGACATTTATGTCAAGCACCAATGTATTCTTCAGGATTTCTGATAAAACACAACCGTAACATAAACTTGGACCATACAGGATTAAAGTGATGAAACAACACGCCCTCACAAAGTGAAAACCGTCCAACTTATACACTGCTCAAGTATGTGAGATTGTGATAGGTAACGAGAAACGCCATGGCAAGAGCCAGGTTTCAACTTTGTTGCTCGACAGTTGCTATTGTGTACATGATTCAGTTTCTTCTGTTGTTGCCGATTCTATGTTATAATCTTCCATTCTCGTCATACTTCCTAGCTTCTCCCATAAGCAACAATGAAACTGCCACTTTGTTACATGATTTCAATCAACAGAGAGTCAGGCGTGCTTATTCCTATTTCAAGAGCCAGACGCCTGGAGGTAATCCACGGTACTATGATTCTGTGGAAAACAGCTCCGAGATCTATCTGACTGTGGCAATAATCACAGTCAGTCGCGCTGTTGAGAAAAAGCGCCAATATCCTGGATACGTTCTCCAGACTTCAGCCGGGATGGACAAATTCGCGAAAAGTCACGAATTTTCACGTAGAACGTTTGTATTTGTGTGTAATGTGGATTTGAATCCCCAAGAACACAAAGAGGCAATGTTTTTAAAGAAGTATCTACCCTTTACTGAACGATATGGTTTGTCAAGTTTCAAATTAGAAGATAAGTATCAAAATCAACATAATTATTCCATATATCAGACAAAAAAAAGCGAGGGGAAATATGAAAAGGAGACAATGGACTACTCGTACTGCTTAAAGGTTGCAAAATCATTTGATCCCGAGTATGTACTGATGGTGGAAGACGATGCTATTCCTCACAACGATTTAGCGTATGTCCTGAAATATACACTGGAAAATCATCTAGTTGATAACAGGAGAAGCACCTCTCAAAGGAAAGACTTTGCCTATCTCAAACTGTATTATCCCGAACGGTGGCAAGGCTATGCATTTGACGTGCCAATGTTCCTGGAGCTTTTGAGTATAGGCAGTGTTGGTGGAGGTGTCACTTTGGTTGTATTCCAGTGCTTAGCTAAAAGAAGACAGGACAATTATAGTTCGAGATTAAGCCGCTTTCTAATTTGGATGGTTTTTTTCATCTTAACAGCAGAGTTTGTAGGCCGACAGAATGTGATGGAGGTACGAAGACTTTCAAAATACTTATACAAGTTTCGACAAGCGTCCGAATGTTGTACCCAAGCCATGTTATATCCATCAGCCATAGTTGACTCTCTGACCACATATTTGACCACCTTGCCTTCATTCAAGCATACTGACCTTTCTATCTATGACTTTACACTCCAGACTAATATACCAACATATCAACTAGAACCGAACCTCTTTTACCATGTCGGCATGCAGTCGTCACTGAATAAGTCCCGGATCAAGTTACTTGAACAGTTCCTCTTTCGTCTTGATTTAACTAGTTCGTCAATCCCTGGAGGAAAGGTGGAATAAAATACAGGCTCCTGCGACAGGTTACTGCTGGACTTCTCGGCTGACTGTGTTTAACATGTACTATAATTAAAATAACCTTAATTATGTTTTATTTCTCATCGTTGTTGTGTATGCAATCAGTAGGTTGGTTTCGGAAAAGGTAGTGTGGTAAGGCGAGTGATGACATTAGACACAGGTGCGGATTAACTCCATATAAGGAGAGTGATGGTATTAGACAAAGATGCGGATTGACTCCATATAAGGAGAATGAAGGTATTAGACACAGGTGCGGATTGACTCCATATAAGGAGAGTGATGGTATTAGACACAGGTGCGGATTAACTCCATGTGAGGAGAGTGATGGTATTAGAAACAGGTGCGGATTGACTCCATATAAGGAGAGTGATGGTATTAGACACGGGTTTGGGATTGACTCCATATAAGGAGAGTGATGGTATAAGACACAGGTGCGGATTGACTCCATATAAAGAGATTGAAGGTATAAGACACAGGTGCGGATTAACTCCATATAAGGAGATGGTATTAGTCGCAGGTGCAAGTTGACTTGCTTTAAAGAGGGGAATGGCAATAGTTCTGACTGAACGTTATTCTAATTTGCCACTGATGTATCAAAATAGGCATCCAATAACTATACTGGTTTGGGAGTTTGGCATATTCCCCATTTTGCAAGCGATGTGATGGGGAGGTTGACATGGCCATGAAGCAATAATATAACACAATTCAACAACAAGAAAACAAGAACATAATATTACGGTAAACGCTATGTGTGGTATCTACAAACAAGTATAATAGTATAGTGTATAGAGCAAAATATCACAGCTCTGTTCTTATAGGCAACCATCCCTCCAACACAGCAATATTCGCAAGGGTCTCAAATCACACACTAGTCTGTGTGTAACTCAAACATAAAATACACCTTGTTTCAACTGTAGATTATTGTAACGAATTTTTACAAATAAGTCTGCGTTAAATAAACACAAGTTAAACAAGACGAAACTTCCCACTCTGCCTACAGTAAAATCATGAAAGGATACGGTCTAATGCTCAGAAAGAGATGAACGAAAGTGAACATGACTGTTTCCTGTTTCACCTGGGGCAAACAGAGCTATGTTAGATCCCCTCTCACATAGATATTCGTGGACATGAAAAGGCAGACACACTGGTGATGCTAGCTCTAGACAAAGCGGAGATACAGCCAATTCCCTTTAGTGAACTAAAGATAAAAAGCAAAATCAAAACCTCTATAGTCCAAAGATTGCAAGCCCAGTGGGACGCAAGTAAGATCGGCAGATGGCAAAACAAAATTCAACCCAAGATCCACCACAAGCCAAACCTATACTCAAATGAAAGAAAAGTTGAAATTGCCATCTCACGCCTCAGACTCAGTCGTAGATCTCATTAAGCCAAGAAATGCAATAGCGAAGGCCAGTCAAACTCCGAGAAACTCTATTTCTGAGAGATGGACAGCTACTCGAACGTATATAGACAGAGCAGCAAGATAAAAATGAAATTATATCAATATACGAAAATAGAAATCATATCAATACAAAATCAGAATTTCTGTGAAAACCAAACTCGCCAGAGATATGTGTATCCTGCTCACACACACCAGTCCCAAAGAGGGACAGGTCAGCCGAAATTGCTAAAGCAGAAGGCGACCTCTTAAACACTTAATAATAACTACAACAACGCTTGGGTCATATCAGTTCAGTCATTGTTTACAACTTCCGTCATGGACGGACGCCATTTTTTCACTTCTGGATTGCAATCAAACAACAACTTATTCCACCGCATTCAGCCCAAATCAACTTACACAGCCAGCTAGCAACAGTAAAAGTGGGATCGAACAAGCTCAATTTGGTTCGGACTATTAGGCTCTTGTCGGCTTGCCGGCAGCCGGGCTCCCTCACCCCCAAGCGCCTCCCCCCAGACGCCAGCCACAGCTCTGCACGTGACCAGCGGCCTTCCCTGCTAAGTTCTCCTACCTATCTCGCCTTACCCGTTAATGCATGCTTTTTCTCTCATTGTTGGAATTCGTTGTTTTTTCACTATTTATAATTGTATATGCCATTCCTTCATCATGTCCATATTCACATCACTCTTCACCACACCCATAAATAGCAAAAACATATTCCCAGGACCCACTTCCACTAACGTCCCTTGGATTTAGACCTGGAAGGGAAATGTATAACAATCGGAGATTTTGTCCGGAATACCACAGACCACACCCATCCCCGTGAAGATGCCGACCGTCTCAGGTTTGTGAGCGACTTGAGGAAGAGGGCCAGAGGGGAGACAACCCACCCGCATGAGTTGTACAACAAGGAAAGTGCTCAACAAGATCAGGCAACTATTGTTCTACTGTCCTCCTTCACCAGTATGAGCAGTTCACTATACAGGCATCGTCTGAAGACCATTCCAGTGCTGCCACAGACCAGAGCTGAGGTGGATCTGACTGAGGAATGGACAAACACCATGCACGACCAGCACTACCGTCTATTCAGCGACGGGGAAGACAATAAAATCATGGCGTTCTCAACACAACGTCAACTGGAGGCACATCAGTGTGGAGGATGACAACAGGATCTTGGCTTAGGCGTCCCCTACAAAGAAGATCCCCATGTGAAGCAATGGATACGGCGAACTGCGGCACTGCCACACCTCCCTCTTGGACAAGTACAAGACACCTGGTTGGACGCCATGGACGAGACACCCTGTGTTCAGGGCGTCAATGACTATATGTTGATGAACTGTGTTGACTTCGAAGCCAGATTTCCCCTTCATCTTTGGAACCATCACCAGACAACAGGACCGCGCACCAACAACGATCTTGAGGGATTTCTCAACCGACTCAATCGAAAACTACCCCAAGACCATACGAACATCATTGAAGTTATCCAGAGAATCGAAAGGACTGACCGCTCTAAGATGTCCCAGATTGATTCTGGTTGGTTGGTTGGTTTGTTGTTTAACGCCGCACTCAGCAATATTCCAGCTATATGACGACGGTCTGTAAATAATCGAGTCTGGACCAGACAACCCAGTGATTGATATCATGAGCATCGATCCACGCAATTGGGATCGATGACATGCATCAACCAAGTCAGCGAGCCTGTGACCACCCGATCCCGTTAGTCGCCTTTTCCGACAAGCATAGTCACCTTTTACGGCAAGCATGGGTTGCTGAAGACCTATTCTACCCCGGAATCTTCACGGGTCAGATTGATTCTGGAGCAGCTCCACCCAACCGCAAGAAAGTCTACAGAGAGTCTGAAAACCATCTCGAGACATTGAAAGAATCAGCTTCGCCAGAGACTCAGGACTCCACTCCAGTTGCTTCAATGCAGGGCTGGAGTAAACAAAGACTATACAGAGACATTAAATTAAATTAATTAATCAGTGCTACTACTAGTGCCAACAATTTTAATATATTTATAACATGATATGTCTTTGTGTGAATTTACTTCACATAAATAAAGTACAAGTTTACCTTTCTACTTTTCTTGGATCACACCATTCTAATAGTAAGGTAACATAGTGTAGACCAGTCAGTGCCTTCAGCCATGACCTATGTTAAATAAGGATAAGATATATGGATGAACAACTTTATTACAACCAGGAGTGACGTTTCAGTGTAGGGTCACCGTAGGCTCTAGGCACTTGCTTGATAACGGTGTTAGAACCTACACCGAAACGTTACTCCTAATTGTAATGAAGAAGTTGTTCATCTATATATCATATCCTTATTTAGTACTCCAACTTCTAAATGCCACTAAAAGAAGTTATGACCTATGTTGTTTTAAGGTGTGTAACTAATGGTAGGATACCTCTGACCTGGGCTCCAAACACACCGGATTCGACATCCATATATCCAAACCGATAACCCAATCAAAATCTTATAGGCTCCTGGATAAACAATCATTCTTTATTCTAAGAAGTAGAGCCTCCGGACTTTCATGTCTGTACAGTGTTGAGTTGCTTGACAACGGTATAATTATCTATACCGAAATGTCGCCTTTACAGTAATTAAAGAAGTTGTTATCCCAATCTCACTAAAATCAGATCTAAGTTCTCGCTGCCGCTTAACAAAGATCTGAGGACATCCCATTACGGGTCACGTCAGAACGACCTTACGCGAACTTTGACCGACCACTGAAACGAAGAACAAGAAGTCGACATCAGCCAATTAGAAAGCAGCTTTCTCGAGCTTTAGGGCACTCGTTTCAACCTGGCGACTTCCATTTCAGACTACCCTTGAAAAATATGTTGACACTGTTCTCGATTAAAATTTTGAAAACTGAACAAAAGAAGAACCCGGAATGACTAATATATGGTTACGATTGTATTGTAGTGCTTCCAAAATACTGTGCAACCCCTCCTCCGTTCAAATGTTTATCCTACGGAAGCGGGAGACAGACGATGATTTTGACGGTAACTGTCGTTCGGAATACCCCGTTTTAACGTTTTCGAGGTTGCATGTTTAGAAAACACATTCCGACTGTCACTTTCATGATCTGGTAAGCGACGCTTCGATTTGTCGGATGAAAGATCGTTCTGAATTGACCCGTAATGGGATGTCCTCAGATCTTTGTTTAGCGATATCGGGAACTAAGATCTGATTTTAATGAGATTGTTGTTATCCATAAATTGTGTCTACTTTTAGTTACATGTCGTTTAAGGAAATCTAGACTAGTTCACAGGCTGTGATCAAAGCGTTTAATTACAGTCAATTGTGTTATAGTCCAACTCAGAAATTCATTACTTAATATTATGACATTTATAGCCTTAATCGATTATCCCCTGGGCAGTGTCGGTAACCTAGTCACCGGTTCACACACCTTAGCACCCACCACCCCCACCCCCACCCCCACCCATGTACATGTCCCAGATCAGCGAGTCACAAAAATTCAACTCGCGATCACTCAATCACACGCATTATTCATTATGACCCACACACATTCAATCATGCACAAGTTCAACCGTGTCAATCAATCAATCTTTATTCAATCTGCCCAACCCTACCTAGCACACACCCATATACGCCCAAAGTCACACCATGTCACACAGTCATGCATATACTTTAATC